TGATTAAGTTAAATGGCCTCATCGGCTCACAATATTTAAAAGCATTTTCCTCGGCGTGTTCAAGCTGTTTCAAAGTTGATTTAATCCTGGCACTTCATAAAATGTGTGTATCCATTAAAGCAAGAAGATTTTATTCATGTTCAAGGGAAATCTCTGAAAGGGGTGGAATAAAACTAAATGCATGGAAACAGACCCAAATCTGGCAATGGGAAAACACAGATGTGCAGGTTAAATGCAAGATTTCAGGAGACGTGCCACCTTCCCCCACCAAATAAGTTTCTAATCAAATGCCAGAATGAAGCGTCAGAACCAGCCAAATTTCCTCCTTGGCTGCCTTAAGTATTTAAATCATCCCTTTTTATTGCATCTGACTAGGCTGAGAACAATAATGGAAATGCCCACCGACTGATGATTCTGGCAATTTTGTGAATTATCACATAAAGTGAAATGCTGAACTACATTCCTTTCTCTGTGGGGCTCATATTCACACTCCTACCCATGCTCAGCACCCACAATGAGCCCATCATCATTACTGCCAACCCTCTGCTTGGCGTGACCATAGCCCCAAAACTATACTGCTGCTGATTAGACTGTGGCATGCTACTCATTCTGCATTTTAAAAGACTGAAAGGGGGAATAACCTATTTATGAAAATCATTTAGATTTGTATAACTCCTTCTTTCTTTTCTTCTTTTTCTTCTTTCCTTTCTTTTTCTTCAAGACACTTGAGGTGGTTAGCTTCCATCAGGATTGTACCATAGCAACGAAATGACACACTCCGGAGACTCCCCATAGAATTTTTGCCTGTGGCCCCCAGGTTGCAAATTTTACTTACTTTCCGGGAGGAAATGAGCTAGGTGTGATGAGATGACTAAGACAGTAACTGGCAGACATCTCAGATTCAGTGATGGGAGTTATCAGATTGGAAGCGTTTAGGAGGCACAGCATGTCCTGAAAAAATTTCTAAGGTTGCCCACTCAAAAAAATAAAAAAAGGAGGGGGATGTATTTTGGAAGATTTCTTGCTGCAAAATTAAAAACAGTAGACATGAACTATAGCTCAGTTAATGGGGAATTGTACATCGTTGAGGAAAACAAAATGGAGGGGATGTGTCAAAAGTATAACAAACTAGAGAAAAAAATTGAGGTCAAAATTGTTGATTTGTTCCAAAGGCATTGCTTGCGCACCTACTACATACTGGTCTCCATGTTATATGCTGATCATATAAAGATGAATTTGTCTTTGTCCCTTAGCTTGTGAAGCTAATCCTGGTATATTAAAATGTAAAGAGATTAGTTAGACGGTAGTGAAAATGCTTCCAAAGTTGGGTTAGTTACTTTCTCTGTACTCTTGGGCTATTTCTTTTGTATGGCAATTTCCAAAGGTACTAAAGGCATTGATTTTTTGGAGGTAGGCTGCTAACAATCTGGACAGTAAACCCACATATTATTTAGGAAAAAATTTGAAAATAGTGTGATGTTCTGTAAAGGAAAAGAAATATCTGTATGGACTGCTCTAACTCACTGAAGAACTCTAGATTTCTGCGGAGCTCCCTTTCAGTAGCAGATGGGTTTTTTATATCAGTATTCCCTTGCCCATCATTTATGAACGCACTAAATAATTTTACTTTTTATATACCATACACAACTCAGAAATTTCTTTGTGCTGTTACAGATGTTACCACCCACTTAGCCTCCTTAATCCTCCAAAATCCTTTAAGAAATATAGTTAAACCATAATTAACCAATGTTTTCTTCATAACGATCCTTCCAAGAAAGAAAGAAAGAAAGAGAGAGAAAAAGATAAAGAGAGAAAAAAAGAAAGAGAAAAAGAGAAAGAAAGGAGCATAAAGAACAAGAGGGTGATTGCAGTCTAAGACACTGAAAGATGGCAGGGAAAATGATTAGGAATTTCAAGGAAAGAAACAAACTAAAAGGGAACAGAATTATAGTATATTATTTGACTCTGTAGTGGGAAAAAACGTGACCAGTACAAGAAGATGCAGTCATAGATACAACAAAGTATCTACCCTGGGGGGTGGAAAAAGAAGTGAGATAGTGTAAAACAACAAAATTCGTATCGTTATATAACATAGTAAATAGATGATGTCTAAAATTATTAAATTGAGAAATGTAAGTACAAAGAGACTGTTTTAAATTAAAAGGGGATTATAGACCCAATGCATGGGCTTCAGTTAGACAGACCAGCTACAGAGGCCATTTTAAAGACCACTAGGGCAATCTAAATATGTCCTAGGTTTTATATATGATATTAAGAAATTATTGCCGGATAAAGAAGTTGTGATACACACACACACACACACACACACACGATGGAATATTATTCAACCATAAGAAACTAGGAAATCCTGCCATTTGCAACAACGTGGATGGACCTTGAGAGCATTATACTAAGTGAAGTAAGTCAGACAGAGAAAGACAAATACTGAATGATCTTACTTGCATGTAGAATATAAAACAAAACAAAACAACACAAAAACCGGACTCATAGAAAAAGAGATCACATTTGTGGTTACCTGAAGCAGGGGATGGGGGACAGGGAAATCAGAAGAAGGTGATCAGAAGTTTCAAACTTTCAGTTATATGATAAATAAGTTCTAGGGATGAAATGTACAATGACCATAGCCGCCACTATTGTGTGATATATACGAAGGTTGTTAAGAGAGCAAATCCTAAGAGTTCTCATTATAAGGAAAAAATGGTCTTTTTTTGCTTTCTTCTTTTTCTGTAGCTATACGAGATGATGGATGTTAACTAAATATATTGAGGTAATCATTTTATAATATATATAAATCAAGCCATTATGCAGTACACCTTAAACTTATACAGTGTATGTCAATTATACCTCAATAAAACTAGAAAAAATGAAAAACATAAAATAAAATGGATTATTGTCATTTTTGTTCATTGTGATAATATTTTGGCTATGCATAATACAGAATGCCATGATAACTTTAATATAAAGTACATAAGCATTTTTAAATACTTTACAGTTAGATACACAGCAACATTTAGAAAATCTTTAGACTTTTCTATTTGATTTTGAATCTGTATATGCATTCCTTGATTTTAAAATGTGTTTAAGTAATTTTGATAATATATCTCTGGATTAGTACACATTCAAGCCCTGTTTCCCAACCACCATTGTATCTTATAGTTAAAATTAATCTTTTCAAAGATGACTCTTGTTTTGCAAGATTCTAAGCTTTTAAAAAACAAATTTAATTATATTCAGTGTACTTTATTTAATTAGGCAAGAATGCAGACTAACAGAGTTTTAAAGAGTTTTTCATTATAAGATTGAAACAAAAAAAGATTATGAGCTAGGGAATTAAATTAACCAAGTATTCGGGTTGGTTAACAGGCATGGTTGGTAAGCCTCAGTCAGACTAAAAATGCGCATCCTAACTGACTGTTGTGGGATAATGGTTAAGAACATAGCAAATGTGTTCAGAATACCAAGGGCACCCCTCTGTCTCTGTGATACTTAGGGTAGGGGATACTGTGGGCATGACCTACTTTAAAAATGGACAAGATAAGCTTACATTTCAGTAATAAAACTAAGATTTTTAAAATGTATTTAACGGGGCTGGGGTGGGGCGCCTGGGTGGCTCAATTGGTTAAGCATCTGACTTCAGCTCAGGTCATGATCTCAGGGTCCTGGGATCAAGCCCCACATTGGGCTCTGTGCTCAGCAGAGAGTCTGCTTGGCCCTCTCCCTCTGCCCCTCCCCTCGCTCGCACACTCTCTCTCTCTCAAAGAAAAAATAAATAAAATCTTAAAAAAAAATTAAATGTACTTAATGACTAAATGACTATTGAATGACTATACCAGAGAGAAAAATACTTCCAGAAAGATATTTCTGCCTAAGAAGCATGTGACACATAAAGTAAATATGGATTTGGTTGGTTGGCTAACACTTTCATTACTTAAATCTCTTTTGCATTAGACATAAGTGAGCTTTCTAAGGTGTGAGGCTTGATAGAATTTTTAAAGTATCATATGAATCATAGGGAGAAATGAAGGGTCATCTAAAGAAAGACAACATTACATTATAGCCACACCCTTCAGTTCATTTCAATGTCATATTAACACGGTCGTATTTTAATGTGGTGGGACGGGTATTGACATACAACTAATCCATTTAATTGGTTGGTTTTAATTCATGAATCAGTGTCATCAGTTACTAATCCTCCACTCAGTAAATAATTGCTGAGCATCTATATGCAGGTATATATATCCTAGGGACTGAGAATACAGTAGTAAGCAAGAAAAACATGATCCCTATCCTCATGGAGTTTACATTCTAGTAGGAAGACAGCTATCAAACAGGAATTGAAATGAAACAGAATCAGTGTTTTTAGGGGAGAAGGAGAGGTAGGCCTCGAGAGCACATAGCAAGGAACCCAACCATGCTTCTAAAAATATCAACCAGGCACTTCGTAGAGCTCTCTCTAGCCCACCCCTTCCTCAGGGTTGAAAATCCGAGAGTAAATACAGAATCCCCAATGACTGGTGGCTACGCAGGAATACAGGACTGTCACAGTTGAATACATGATCCTTCTGCAGAGTGCTGTCTCCGTTAACAACATAGTTTATGTGGCTCGTTTTCCTGGTAAACTCTTAGTAAACTTTGTGTGCCAAAGTAAGCTGGATGGGGTGCTTGCCAGAATTAGGGACCTGGGTTGACCTTGTGGATAGCTCTTCAGACAGGTCTAGGATCTGACGTGACCCTGCTGCTAACCTGAATGTAGATACCAATATTGTAGCACCCAGTAATTGCAGAGAGACTGTTAGCATGAATCTGGAATACCTACATTACTTCCAAGCATTTGAGTTAGATGGATGGGGGAGGACCAGCTAAACAAATTGTGGAATTTCTAACTGTAAGCAAAAACGTGGGTCTGTCTTGTGAACCAGATTTGCATCGTATTCTAAATAACTGTTGTGTTTTGTTGTTTTGTTTTTTTTTAATTTCAGAATGTCCTCATTGTTGAGGTAAGCTGACTTTTCTTTATCCATATTTGGAAGTTGAAAGAATCTAATGGTGAGTTTTGAAATAGCACTTATTATCAAATTGGTCAAGGATTTATTGAATTTCCACTGTGCGCATGGCTCTCCAAATTTACTAAGAGCTAACTAGAATCAGTGGCCTGAAACAATTTAGAATAAAAGCTTTGCAATAATAGTTTCGTGGTACTTTATCCGTTTTTATGTCTAATTTCACGCATGTCTAAATTGGTTCTTATACCTATTTGCAAATCAGGCATTTTTTACAGAAGAGGAAACCAGCCCCACAGAACCAAATATATGTAAGAGTAAAAGCAAGGTTTGAACTCTTTTCACCCTTGATTCAGTGTTCATGCTAATGACCCCTAAGGACTTCAAACAATTCTACCTTCAGCAACCAAATCGTAAATACAATCAGTTTTCAAATGGCAATCCAAGAGAAAGCTATAATTTAATTTAATTTAATTTTTCTGCTAAAAAAATTTGAGAGCGAACGGGCCCTGTGGTAGCAGTGGACTTAATACGACACATGGCCACTTTTCCTTTGAGAGCACGCCTGTCTTATCAGCTGGCAAGAATTCAAGGGAGCTGTTTCAAGCTTTTGTTACACAGTTGCCCGTATGTGCCATGTGTATCCGCCGTCTTCCCGGCTCAGACATAACCCAGGAAGTAGACCCTCTAGCCAAACGAATTGCCCAACCCTGGCTAAATTCAGACCTGTTGTTTTGATAATCAGCTCCTGACAGCTGATTTCTGTCCCAAGGACAATACATTTCTGCTGCCCATTCTCCTCTAATTGTACAGCAGCTCATCAGCGGAGACGAGCCGAGGCTCACTGCAGCCTTGCACCCGCAGAATTCACAGGCTGTCACCAGCTGCCGTCCAGACACATCTCACTTCCCAGCCGTAGAATCCCCTATTGAGTGGGGAGGGCAAGGGGGAGGTGTTTATCCATTCAGTGCATTCAGATGTACATCCCATGTCCATGAAAATTCATGCGTTCTGTATTGTGTTGCATAACCTCAGGGCCAAATTTAGTCCTTGAATGTGCATGCATGAGTCCCAATGTACTCAGTGAGCAGCCCCACATGCTCTCCAAAGGTCGAACTTAGCTTTCAACACAGCTCAAGGATTCCAAGAGGAAATATTCACCAATATATTCCCCTAAACCCAGCTTCCGAGAGAAGCACCTGTCTAAAAAATGTAACCAACCCTGCTTCCTATTTTGACTCGATCTGATGGCAATTCTAATTATGATGCATTATTAATAAGGCATACAATCATCTGTCTGGATGCAAAGTCTATTATGCTGCCCAGATGCGCTCAGTTGAATGTGTCTGTCCTCTTTGCAAAGGATGTTGTTGGAACCGGGAAGACCATGCGAGCGCTGCTCAGTAGCATAGAGAAATACAAGCCCAACATGATTAAGGTAGCCAGGTGAGTAGGACATTCACGTCACTGTTGTTGCTTCTGTGTGTCCAAATAAGCCCGGGAGGGATGCTAACACAGGATGTTTTCCCCAAAGAGAGCAGTCTATTCCAAACCAGTGACCCTGTGCCCCGGGGTGTTATGGCTTGACCACACTGAACAAATAGCCCATTTGATTGCTAGTCTGAGACAGAGGAAGAGGAAGAGTACATGCTTTGCCGGGTGTCTGAGCTTCTCGTTACTGTGCCTCCATTAGTAGTTTCCAGCTGGCGGAGCCTGGTGCCAGTGCCCCTCTCCCTTCCTTTTATCTAGAATCACTGATGTGGTGCCTTGGTAGCAGGAGTGTGAATTAGGGGCCCGGGATGGTGCCCCACATGCCGGGGAGGTGGGGGGAATACATATTTTAATGATGTTCGGTTCTATTTGCAATTCACAGTTTTATCTGGATCACTAAACACTTTTTTTTTTTTTTAATGGTAGTTTGTTGGTGAAGAGAACACCTAGAAGTGATGGCTTTAGACCCGACTGTAAGTGGTTTTGGTTTTGGTTGGTTGGTTGGTTGGTTGGCTGGTGGTGTCATTTCACGTTGAAGAATCTCTGGTTTCCTATTTGCCGGCATTCTGTGTGAAGCAGAAGCTGGAAAGATTTCCTAGTCCCACAGAGGTCTCCCCAGCCTTGCCAATGGAACCCTTTACAACAAGGATAGAACCCTTTACAACGAGGGTTTTTCATTTCCCAGTTTGCATTGTTCATGGAAACTCTATCGTGTGCATTGGATATTTTTATGTTTAGGTTTTCCATAGCACCTTAAAACCAAAGATCTCAGCTAATGGGTTTCAGCGGGTGGAGGGAGACTTGACCCCACCAGACTGGCTGACTTGCAGGATCCCTGTCTTGGCCGCGGCCCCTGTCAGTCAGACCCGGGAAGGCACTGTAAAGGCTTAGAGGGATTCTCATACTGTCACCAGACAACGCTCGATGCCGACCAAAGAAAAGTTCAGTAACACAGAGAATTGGCTGAGCAGATATCTTCAGATACCATCTTTGTGCTTGACTTCCTATGTTCTGGAGGATTTGGCTCATCCAGGGCACTTTGCTACTCTCCTCCCCATAATATGAATAGTTCCAATGCCAGGAAGAGTAAACAAGCAGCTTGATTATTTATTATTCTAACACTAGAGGCGACCTATTTTCACTCACATAGGCAGACTTCAGCTTGATTTTTATAACTTACATTTGCTCTAAAGCCTCTGGGATCATTTGGCTACAGTTCTCATCAGCAAGCTGAAAAAACATCAGAGCAAAGGAAGCACACTATGGACGGGTAATATGCCAACGACATTTCGCAAGTGACTCTTTATTCTAAAAACAAGTTTCATGTATTAAATCTAGACAACATCAGTGCTGGGCAGATAGACCCAACAACATGTCCCCGTCCAGTTACTGGCATGGGGAATATAATCTGGATGCAGTAAGGTTAGGCGAAGTTAGTAAACAGAAATCTCCTAAGGAAATCATGGAAGATCCCACAGAGATAAGATTTTAACTGAAGTTGAAAGATTCACTTCAGACATAGCCAACTAATTACAGATTATTTGTGTCACTTACAGCAACAACATGAATAAAATAATGGCAGGTAACACTAGTAAGAGGTTACGATGGGCCGTACATTCCTTTCTAAGAGCGACGCAGAGATTAACACATTTCATCCTTAAACCTTCATCCAAGGTAGTTGCTCTTGTTATGCCCATTTTACAGATGAGGAAATTGAACACAACAAGGTTCAATGGTTTTCGAAGGTCACGTTGTTGTAAGTGTAGAGTCAGTATTGAACCCAGGCAGTCTGGTTCCGATCACTGCCTTACTCTTGCACTGCATCTGTAAGTAACATCAGCAAGTAATTGCACCCATTTTCCAGCTAGACATAGGTCACTTTGATTCCTAACTGTCCCCTGATCTACCATTGCAGTGTCCTTCTTTCACTCCCTAACAGTTCTGAAGGTTTGACCTTCTGAACTGGCTTTGCCAAGTCTCAGGTGCCATGCCTACTGTAGGCATTGCTCTGGTTACTGTGAAGTCATTACTGTGGTGACAACCCAGGTTCTCTGGGATTTGCTAATATCCTTTTAGCTGGTTCAGAATCTCTGTTTCTTCTCCCTGGACTTCTGAGGCTTGATACTTTTGGTTCCTTTCTCATAACTGATTCTTTCCCATATGCTCCATGACATCTTTTATATGCTCTGACATCTTTTCTTCTGCTCTTGCTTCTCCTCTTTGATTATTTTTCTCAAAGCAAGGTACAGTGTGGAGGGACCAAAGGGGGTCTCTATCAGTGACATATAATGCAATCCTCTAGAAAGTAAGTCCCTCTCCTCCGGCACTTTCTGCAAGAAGGAACCAGTTGCTACTCCACGTGAAAGCATCTTTGGTCATAGGAATCAAAATGGTGGTGAGTGGTCACCAGAGGAATAACTTTCTCTCCATGCTATAAGTCCATTGGCTATACCAAAGAACAGTTTCATAAAAGTAAGTGAGCACATCTCTCCTCTGCAATGCTCTAATAAACAAACAGATTCAAAGAAAAGTGGAAAGAGTTTGAAAAACCATTGGACCATAGGCACATTTATTCTGTTTCAAGACTTCTGAAGAAGGAGCGCTACTGTCTCTTCCTTAAAGATTCTTTTCCATAAAAATCATCTTCCTTTCAATAAACTTTTCCTTCGTTTAACCTAAGTACCTCACACTGCATTTAAATCCTTTTACTCCCATTCCTCCTGCAATAGAGATTGAGAGCTCATTAATGCCATCTGTCTACTGGATTCAAAGACTAGTGATAGAATAACCCTTAGTGTTCTGTTCCTCAAACTGAACAATCCCACTTCCCGTCATCTGGTCTCCCAGGTTTGGCTTCCCAGCCCTTTATCCAGCTGAGAACACTGAGTGCGGTGGGAGAATGGGTTCCTAGTGATGACAGCCTGTGCACCTAGTCATGTAGTACAGGATTGGAATACTTCTGTCTGAACTGTACTTTATGCTTCCCAAGTATTTCCTTTGGCATTATAACATTGGATACTGCTTGCTTTGGAACTGCAGGGCTACATGACTAACTCATGCATATTTCTTGCTCTCCCCCAGGCTGGCTGAGCCCTTTCTCAGCTCTGTATGGTAGGAGTACAGCCATTCTTCCTTGTATGTTTGCTTGTCTCCCTTGTCTCCCTGCCTAATCACTGTGGTCCAGGTCCTATTGGGTTCATCCTATGCATTGCTTATCATTTTTCTCACTTGCTTCTGCTTAAATGAAAGGTCCTCACAGTTTAAGTGCCAACAGTAGCATATGGTGGCTTTCTACTCATGTTATCTACATTATTCCTTTTTTTTTCTCTCTCTCTCTCTCTACTCAGATGTTGGATTTGAGATTCCAGACTTATTTGTGGTGGGTTATGCCTTAGATTACAATGAATACTTCAGAGATCTGAATGTAAGTCATGCATGCAAATCCCTAGCCTCCTTTCACAAGAACTTAACAGCTATATGAATTTAACAAATTATTGAAATAGTAGTCATGATGGCTGCCACTTACTGAATATCTTCTGTGTCAGGAATATTCTGGGCACTTTGCATTCATAATCCCAGTTACAGTTGCATGCAGTTTGTAACTATTCCCTTTCTGGAGAAATTGTTTCAACATATATACATGGACTCCCAGTGTAGACCCCCCAGCTGTGTGACCCTGACCAATGTTGAATGATATAGAGGTAGACATCTTACCCGAAGTGGACCAATCATGTGTGTGTGTGTGTGTGTGTGTCTCTCTCTTTCCTAAGAATTAGAAACTTAAACCAAAAGTCACAGAAATCAAGAGATTTTGGTCTTAAGCCACTGAATGGCAGGGCCCCAGAGAGAGTATCCACAAGCACCATGGGCTAAAGTCAGGAGCTACCCCATTCCGGCCTTCCAGTTGCTTCACTGTGTAGCTCTTCTTTGGATTCTGTGAGCCAGCTCATTAGCCTTGGTAGGCTATATTAGCCTATATTAACCTGACTCCACTTCTGTGCCTTGCAATCAAAATACTCTACACATTTCTTGCCACCCAAAAAAGATCGATTAAGAGTCAATGTTGTGTTTACCATGGCTATTTCTCCATTCTCCCTAGAGGTGATAATGTTACCAGGTGGAGACTTCTATCTCCACCATGGCTGACCATACCCTCCTTCAGCCTTTATGGTTGTTCCAGACCTAGGGAGCCAGATTTGGAATAGGGCTCTAAACTAGAACAATGAAGAAACTTTTTCAAGCTATCGATTGTGTGTCTTTAGATTTTATATACATGCACACACATAAATGTGCACACATATATTTGAATGAACAATAACCAATTATAAGATGACATTCTGTTATTACTGCATTACATTTTCTGCACTCCTATTTGGCTAAGAAACAGATTCATTTAAATCCTTTATTGTTTCAGCACATATGTGTGATCAACGAACATGGCAAAGAAAAGTACCGAGTCTAAAGGAGTAAATTCTCACCATCGAATCTCCAGATAACATCATACTTACGACTACAGTCGGAAAGCCAGCATGTAAAGTTTGTCTCCCCAGGCATCTTCACTCAGCAGGAGATGAAAGAAAAAAAAATGTTTTAATGAGAGAGCTTTCTTTTCTGAGGTTATAACATAAAGAGTACCAAAGGTTCTTAAGGAAAATAAGGCAATATTTTTATTTGACTTGTTCCAAATTAAATACTCCGCCTTGTAACTCATGCGTTCTATCTACCTTTGCACTCCAGAACTTCACCTTCTTTTATTCCGATACAGTTATTATGCTTGATGACTATACCCCCACCTAGTTACTCAAATATTTTTCACTTAACTTTTTTTTTTTTTTAATATTCCGTTTTGGTAATATTTTGCAATCTGGAGAAACTGGAAGCCTTTTCAGTTAAGCTCCGAACTCAAATCCTGGGAATGCAGCTAGATTCCCATACTCAAAAAGGAGGGAAAGGACAATTTAATATAAATTTCTGTTTGTGCATTTCTGGCAGGCCATTACTATTTGCTTTGACAAAGCCTTTTTGAACTGTAGCATATAATGAATCTTAATGATGTTATGAAATGAGCCTCTGATCAGTGCTGTTGATCGGAGCTTCCGGTATGTGATAACGGTATGTCATGTACGCATGGATGTACTCAACTGTGTTTAACACTCTGAATTTTAATTAGAAAAAATACAATGGCAGCAAGGCCCTCGTTTCTAAGCTGCATCTTTTTATTCATGTGGGACATGAGCAAATGGCAGAATTCGCGGAGCGGGAGGTTCAATTCAAAACTAAGCACGTATGAGTTTTTCCTCTTATTTACATCAAAGGACAAGACACTATTATATATTATCATCAACACGAACACAGAGGTTGAATTATTTTTTTGAGTGGTCTTAGAAGACATCCGACATCCCTAGGCACTACAGAAAACCAGCACACTTAAGAAAGTTGTTTTCTGAATAACATTTTTTCCATTTCCACTGTTTTATGACATGTTTTCTAATTTATGGGGATTTTAATTGAAAATAAACTCGAGTTCCAATAGAACTGTTTTTTTCTCACTTCCTAAAAGGAGAAAATGCAAAATAAATAACTAAGCAGCTTTTGTTTGGTTCTGAACCATTTGTGGCATATTATTATCAGGTTCTAGCTTCCTTTAAACTAATAAAGAATAAAAAACCTTGTTACGTTTCATAACTGCTTACTGTTTTTCTTCTGCCTTCATATTTTTTATGTACTTTCATCCATTAAAATGTGTGTGAGCCAGTAGCTTAAATACACTGCTGCATATATCTTTCCTGGGGCTTTATTTTTGTTAACCTGGAAAAAATCCAATATATGCACTAGTATAAGCAAACGATTAAGCCAGACTTGATCTATTGCTTTTCTTTTTTTCTCTCCTTGTAAGACAAAGAATTTTAGTTGTAAAAGATTTTCCTGAATATCTTTGTTCCAGGCAGAGAAGAAAATAAACCACACCCAGAAAGTGAGAAACCAGCCAAGGGAATTCCTTTTAGCTTTGTTCCATAGAAGAATCAGTATCCAAGTTAGAGATTGATAATTCTTTTTTTTTATTTTTTTATTGTTATGTTAATCACCATACATTACATCATTAGTTTTTGATGTAGTGTTCCATGATTCATTGTTTGTGAGATTGATAATTCTAATTGGCCAGTTTCTTGAATCATCAAATTCGTGTTCTAAATACAATTTCCACTGTGCCACCTTTATATCAGAGACCTAGAAAAACCCAGATACATTTGATTATAAATATAAAATTATCCATAATCTTTATTAAAAGATTTTCTTTAGAATGTTGAATTTTAACAACGTCGGCGTAATTTTTGAGGACTATATGTTTATTTGAATTAGGAAGGAAGTTGATCTACTTCACCAGATTTTGAGAAGGACTTGTGCTAGCTAATGCTGAAAAAGAAAAATCCATTAAATACACAAGAAGTTTAATCATTCCTGCAATTTTTTTCCTATCACACAATATTTTGACAGTGATATCCAAGAATGTCATCTTGGGAAAAATAGTATTTCCTCTTCTCTTGCGAAACTCGAATCTATTTAATATCACTGAGTTTTTTCAATCCAGACCAAAAATGTGAAAACTCATAACCAGATTAGCAACCAATGCATTTATTAATTTGGTGTTCCAAAGCTGATTGGTAGGGGAAGGGGGAGATAAGTGTGTGATATGTTTTATTTGGATTCAGTTACAATAATTAGTAATACTTTTACTACAGTAATACAGTAACATAATCAGTAATACTTTGGGATATTCCAAACAAATTAGAACCCTTCATTATAAATTGGTTCTTACTTACTAGATTGGAATGTATCCAGTATTGAACCATGCACTCCCAGTGTGAACTGCAAATAGTCAAATCTTGATGCACCTTGTTTAACCTTTGGATGTCTTTGGATATAACATGGTTTACCATGTTTCAGCCCTTCTGAGACTATTAAAAAAAAACAAAACAAAAAACACCTTTCAGAGCACAAGCAGGTATTTTTTTCAGCCTCCCATGGGATGAACTTGTGTTTTCCCAGTGGAGAGAGAAGGTGACCTATCTCACTTCTAGAGAACTGGTGTCATGGAAATATTTCCTCACTTTTGTAATAGAGGTAGTATGTTCTAGGAAATCAAAACCCTAAATCACACTCCCCACCCAGATGTCTGGCTAATCTGGGCAAAAATAGCGTTTGGGAGTTGTCATTATTTTGCTATCATAAAGTTCCTTTGGGATCCCTAGATGACACTTGAAGGCTGGTGGACAGGCTAGTTTCAGGAGGGGAGCAAAAGGGTTGTGGAAAGGAAGTTTGTGCATTGATGGTGGGAGGCATGTGGAGGAGGGACAGAAGGTGTATGTGGAGAAGGCTGCTTTGTTTCTTGGTCAAACCATACCCCAGGATTGGTTCTGAACCCCATGGAGAGAAGGAGACAAAGACCCTGACTGAAAGAGCTGTTTTCATGGTAGCCTTTGGGCCACACACTAGGACAGACAAGCCTTTCACATTTCACTGAGGGTCATGCATAATCCATTCCAAAAAAAAAAAACAAAAAACAAAAACGTTTTTGCCATGTCTCAGCCCAAAGGACGCCCTTTTCTGACTTTTTCTGCCAGGGTGGGCTTTGCTCAGAGATAAGTAGGAGAGACCATGAAGACAGAGTGGGATACTGAAGTCCTGCATTTTCTAAGTGGGAGAAATAAGCCAGAACTAATGTTACTATGACTTTGTATCCAGAGCCTAATGCATGTTGACTAGTGAATAAGCTTCGAATGAGGATGGTGAGTGTAGATGACTCACTCAAGAAACCTGGCTGTCAAGACCAGAGACACATAACCATAGCTAGAGGGGGAAAGACTTGTATATTTTTATTCACTGTGGAAAACAAAAAACAAGTGAACAAAACAGTAGAAACAGCAAATTCATTATTGATTGCTCTGTAACAAACCACTCCCCAAACTAAGTAGCTTAAATGAACAATAATTATTATTTCTCAGGGCTTATGAGAATTAGGAATATGGAGCAGGCACTGTGGGGATGGTTTGTTTCTGCTTCGTGATGTCTTTTGCTTCAGCTGGAAGATTCAAAGGCCAAGGGCTATAACCAAGTGACGATAAATGGTCCAGTGTGGCAGCCATTAGCCACATGTACTTGTTTAAATTTAAATTAACTAAAATGAAATAAAATTGAAAATCCACTTCCTCATTCACATTTGCCACATTACCACTGCTCAACAGCCTCATAAGAGAGTAAGTTATTAGCACAGAGAAAATTTCCCCAATCACAGAAAGTTCTATGGGTAGCTGTGATCTGAAGGTTTGCCTGGTGGTTGATATATTGGCTGCTCGCTAGAACCTTAGCTGAAGCTGTCAGGTGGAATTCTTCTGTGTGGTGTCTCCATGTGGTTCAAACTTCCTCACAATATGGCAGCTGGGTTCCAAAGGCAAGTGCGAACAGAGACAGAGACAGAAGCAGGCAAAAGCCATACTGCCTCTTATATGACAGGCTCACTTCCCCCACATTCTGTTAGTCGAAGCAGTTACAAAGACTTGTCTGACACTAAGGGGAGGGAACATAGACGGCCACCACTTGATGGAAGAACACTGTAAGACGATCCAGGGGGTAGGATGTATATGTCTCTGGCCATTGTCAGAAAGCTGGAGATGAAATCTGGCACAGACAGGTTATTCCCCTGCACATTTTCCACTAATGAGATTAGTGAAGAAGCCGATTATGCAGTGGTCATAATGCATAATTGAAAGCACACCTGCTTGCCTAGGTTTTTAAGAATGACAGAATACTGGGGCGCCTGGGTGGTTCAGTCGGTTAAGCGTCTGACTCTTGATTTTGGCTCAGGTCATGATCTCAGGGTTGTGAGATCAAGCCCCCCCATCGTGGAGCCTACTTAAGATTCTCTCTCTTCCTCACCCCCTGCTGCTCCCCCACCTCAAAAAAAAAAAGACTACTACTACCTAGCCACATGGGGAAATATGAAATGATAAAAAGAACACCAGAGTAGCCCACCTTGATTATAAAGGTAGAAATACATGTTTTCCCACTGATAGTGTTTGGACCAGATTAAAAAGACTTTGAAAGAGCAGTTTTATTTCTTTTATTATTAAGGTGCTTAAATTTGAAATATAAAAACCATAGTAAAATAGTTTTTGCTTGCCAAGTATTCTGTAAATGTAAATTCATGCTGAAACTTTAGGTGTAGTTCCATTTTTATAGGAAGAAATTGCCATATAATTTGGCCAAGAAACTAATCCAGAATGGGACTTCCTATATATATTTGTATGTATACTGTATGCTGGAAATAGTACTCACCAAATCAATTAAAAACAACGAATCACTGAGTACTAACCAACAGGGATTTACGATGAAAACTGCTCTGTCCGATTTATCTAATCTCCTAATATTGAATGACAGAGCTGGTTGACTGGAAAAAGGAAGTACTGTAATTTGTCTTATCTTCATTTGAACAACCCTTTTTGTTGTGCTGTGTGAAGAATATCCATCAATAGCCTGGGAAAATGACTTACACTACCTAGCTACTGGGTAACTGCGCGAATCTTTACAGTTGTATTTAAAAGAGATCTAACAAGAGCGTAACAAAACACATTGTGAAAGACTGGAACCCAGACACTGAGTGTGTTGACATTTCACAAAAGATCTGCCTGCAACTACTGTGGATCATGCGCTATACAAAAACCTGACGATAACTCAATTTAGTATTTAGCATGAAACCCAGAGGTAGGAACGGCCATCTCCATTTTAGAGATAAGGAAGTGAGTACTAAAGAGATTAAATCACTTACCCAGGGTCACAGAGCTGTGTTCAAAACAAGAAATTGAACCCGTGTTCTTAGACTGCTGAGTCAGTACTCAGTACACAGCGCTGAGTTCATGGACCGTGTAGAAAGTGTGTCCATACACTTGCAGGTGACAATCAGAAGAAAGAATGGTGTGGTGTAATAAGAAATATGTTTGATTGTTGTCCCTGGTTCCTGGCACAGGGCTCCTAAAACCCTTGGAATTTCCAAAGTAGGGATAGGATCTTTTGTTACTCTTAACAAACCCCTTTTATCATACCTGAGTTTATGCTGAAGAGATGACTTAGAGTGGGACCCCTCTAGATAGCCTCAGGATGGGGCTGGTCACCAGAAAGACCAGTGACTGGAAGGTTGGAACT